TTTTAGTACGACCAGTATTTTACCAAAAGCCTGAAAATCAGAAGGAAAGAAAGTAAAAGCAGGTCTGGCACGTAATATACCTAACACTCAAGTTTCAATAACCGCTGATTTTGTATAGTCATAACACTAGCCCTTATTACCAAAATACAATATCCACTGCTCTCTCTAATGCATATATACTTCTAGCAGTCCTATTATCTTAATTTACAGGAAATACAAATAGTTTTTGCACTCATCACTTTCATTTCTGTAAGAAAGATCCTACACCTTTCATATTTTTCAGAAATTGGTGAGTATCAAAGTCTGAATTTTTGTACCACAACAGAGAAAATACCACATAGAAGATAAGCTCAATGCAAGGAATTCTCAAATTCTCACAGCTAATCATCCTTTGTCTTTTATTTCCACTTTCATTTGTCGGTTTTGCAAAGGAAAGAGACAAAATATGATAAACATGAAGTGCTAAAGTAGTGTTGAGTCCACAAGACTATGTCAAAATCTACAATACTGACTCTTCCCATATGCTATGTGTTTCAAATCTTGTTATGCACATTTTGATTCATAACAATAATAAAATTCAAAAGGCAACTCTTTATTTCACATAACTCATTGCATATACTTGAATTTGATTTAATCAGAATTTGATTTATATAAATTTATGGTGCAAAAGGTACTTGATCAAGAACCTTTCCATTAAGTGGTATTTCACTAAACTTAATTTCTTTATTCCTAACTTTTTATATTCCTTAATCAAATAATTGAAAATAAACTAAAACTATAAATAAAGTAATAACAAGTCCTGTTCTGCATATCTTCAGAAAAATAGAAACAGATTATAACTTCTTCAATGTCTAACCCTGAGAACACTATAAACCTTTAAAACTTACCTCAATAAAGTTAGCAAAGTTGACACATATTCCCGTCAGCTTTGAGATCATTCTCAGCAGCTCTGGCGATGTTAGCATACAATCCTTCAAACAGCCGCTCAGAAAATCATTGTGGAATGCTAACACTTCATCTACATTTTCTACCTGAAATTGAGAATGACAAAATACATTAAGATCAGCGATACTCAATGAAAATGGCCCTGGAATCATAAGTTTTGATTTTTTTAGGAACAATATTCATATATTAATTATTTCTTCTTATCACAATTGCTAATTCATTATTTTCAACTATAAAAATCTGTGGTTATACACTATTAGTTTTGATTTCCCTTTTTGCTCATGCTGTGTTACTGTAATATTACTCAGACACAAACAATCATATGTTGATCAACAAACTTTCCACTACCAAGGATCATTTCTGGAATATCTCTGAGCTTATCAATTCAATACCAAAGGGTATATTTTCAAAACATCTTTTATCCTCATGCCTTCAGACACATACAAAAAGAAAGAAAGAGAGAAAAGAGAGAAAGAAAG